AAAGAAGTTTTTGAGGAAGAAGAAGAAGTAGTATTTTTTTTTTCTTTTTAGACTTTAGAAACTCAGAAGCTGATCAAATATCGGGATAAATATCGGTGGGGTGGCCGATGTCCGATATTCAGTTTTAAGGCCGATACAGGCCGATACCGATAGGGGGCCGATTATATTGTGCATCCCTAATATATATATATGTATATACTAAGAGAAATGGCCGGCTCCTGTGAAGCTGAAATGTAAAGAGATGTGCTTCCTTTCAATGGGTTCTAATAGCACATCTTACTTTATGCCATGTTGCCCATTCTTCATTGTAGAACATTTCAAATCTCATCGGGTTGGAAAGGACACGTCTGTACATTTTCAGATTCTCCAAAGATGTTAAGTCAAATTTAACTCTGGCTTGGGGGTCATCTTTGATAGTACCACATCAGTCACATTACCTGATATGCATATTTTTATCTACGAAACATTCTTCGTCTTCATTCCTCTCTTTCCCCGCCCTTTGGTTCTGTTCTTATCCGTAGCCTTGTCACCATCTGCATTCATTACTGCAACTTTTTACTCCTCACTAGAAATTCCCCCCATGAGTTTCAGTTAGTCCAGAAATTAGAAGCTTGTTAAATTACCAAAGCCCCTCATTTCGTCACATCACCTTAGACTTAGAGGGGCTCCACTGGCTCCCTGTCAACTTCAGTACAAAAAGTTCAGTACAAAATCCTGCTGTTCACGTTCAAGGTCATCCGACCATAATCTTGCCTGGACTTAGATCTCGTTCATAGATGCTACCCACCTTATTAAGCCTCTTGCCTCCCTCATCACAATAGGGAGAGCTGTCTCCAGCTCTGCTCCCAAACTCTGGAACCACTCCCTCCTGATATTCGTAATACAGATAACTTACCTCTCTTTAAACAAAGCTAAGAACTCATCTGGTCAAGACTGCATACCTCCACATTATGCATTGTTGATTATGCTAGTGGTACACGATCAACAATCCTTGGGTGTTCAAATAAAATATATTATTATCAACATTAAAATTACACCTGAGACATTCATAGATTGGTCCCAAAGCCTTTTCTTTGAGATTGTGGCAATGTGTTTTGGGTCATTGACCTCTGAGGCAGATTTTTAATAAATGATTATTGCTGCATTCATCATTCCAAATTATCCCGACTAATTTGCCAGTTCCTACTGCTGAAAACATGCCCATAGAACGATGGTACTACCACTGTGCTTCGCTGCATTGATGGTAATAGCCTTTTGTTGCTCCTCGTATGCTAAAGAGTTTCATCATAATTTTAATGGTCTGAGAGTCCTTTCAGGAGCCTTTGTAAATTTAAGAGCAGAAAGTTAAGAGTCATCCAGGTTTTTATATCTTCAAGACATGCTACTACAGTAGCAGCCATTTAAAACGGCCCTCCCAGTCAGATGCCAGTCGAATGGCAGCCCACTTCCAGCCACTGGAGTGACTCCCTCCTTCTCCTGGGGGTGCATTTTTTTTTTTTAATCCAACTCCAGATTTTCACTGAATTACAGGGTCTGACTAGGAAAGAGCACTTCTCTTTAGATGTTAATGTCCACAAATCATGACAGAGAGAATATTTTAGTTTATGATGTTTAAAAAAGGAATCTTAGGGGGGCAGCCAAGGGCCCATCAATGAAAGTGGGGACATTTTGAATGGCTACTACTGTAATGATTTAGTTTGATCTGGATTTATAGACAGATATAGTTGAGTATTATCAGTTAAGACAGGCCGCCATGCCCCCTTTAGGAGGTCACTTAAAACTTAGATAAATTGTAAGCTGCAGAAAAATCTTAAGAATGATCAGTGGAAACATTATTTTGACCTTCACAGGAAAGACTGTATCATTAACATTGTCA